TGGGAAGAACTAAAAGGTGAATATGAAAAAATTTCCCAAAGTTGGGGGTTCCCCTTTAAAGCTGGGCCCGTCAAGATGGAGAAAAAAGTTTTCCACATTTTTTTTCGATGCTTCGAAATTAGCATATGGACAGTCGCTTACCTTTAATGTAAAAAGTGCCATTTCTCTTTTTATGTCTAAGGCTAAGGTGGCCCAATCAAATCCCCGCACCTTACCTCAGTTGGAAATTTAAAGGCCATTTATGTAGGTTTTTAATTTTTCCAATTTATAAGAAATAAATTGCGAGAATAAATACAGCGGGCACCGTAATTTTGGTCTGAAAACGAGGAACCTTACAATGGATTTGTAAAGGTAACATTAAAATTGTTTTAAATTTCAAAACAGATCGCTGAAAACAAACAAATGCAGGAGAAAAAAAATAAAAAGTTTTTGGGTCAAACAAAAAGTTTAAACCCTTTAAAACACTTTTCCCGGTGACGAAATCCAGCTGACTTCCCGTCTCCCAGGCCCTTTACTTATGAAAAAATTTTTGAGTGCCCTTTATCGTGGTTTTTAAAGGGGCCCAAATTTTTGGGTGGGGGACAAAATTAAAATGGCCGGTGCAAAAGGGACATATTTTCCCGGGCGAAAAATTACGGGGACACCGCTCCGGTCCGTAGTCCCTCCTTAGCCCTTGATTTGAATAGGTATTCTTTCCCTTTCCTAAGCTGATTGTGTGCCAAGGTTATGTTTAAAAATTTAAAAAAAAAGATGAATATCTCACCTAATTTTTTCCCCCTCCCCGGAAAAAATGGCTACAGAGGGTACAAGAAGAAAACCCACAGGGAAAAGGGAAATTTAAATTTATGATTTGGGGCGGGGAAAAAATTTTGAAAGGCTCAATAATAGAAAAGCTGGGGGGGTGTATTTTGAGGATTTAAGTAATTAGGGCAGAGGCAGGGGTTTCCAAAAAGCGAATTGGGGAAAAGCAAGCACCCTAACTTGCTTGGCCCCCAAAAATCAAACAACCCGACCCAACCCTTTATTGTTTTTAAATGCCCCCTAAAAAACGTGATGACGGTTTGGGGGACAGGAAACCCCCTTTTTCTGTATTCGGGAAACCTTTTGGATTTTCCCCAAGGACGGCCCAAAATGAAAAAAAGGGGTTTTCAAGTCGTGTGTAATATTGGCCGCCGGGGGATGCCAGAAACTACATTACCCGGTCCCCACCATTGCCCAAGGAAAGCGTGCAGGGTTTGGGAAAAACCCTTTTTAAGTGACCGAGTGGACTATAGTGGGGGCCAAACATTTTAAAAGGTTTCTTTAGATGGTGTCCCCTTGAAGGGTATGTATGTCTAATTTTCTTGTACAACCCACTAGGGCCCTTTTTATCTAAAGTGGCCCCAGGGCTTTTCGCAGAAAAAGTTCATACAGCTTTCCGGGAAAATTTTCAGCTAAACGATCCTGTCCAAGATTGAAAGAACTCAGATAAAGCCACCAATTTTTTTAGGGGGGTGCCAACCCTTATGAAATTAAAAAAAGAAATTTTTATGATGTAGCTTTGTTGACCCAGCCCGGGGGGGTGTCCGGGAAAATTTTTTACTCCCAAGCCCCCTTTGGGAGGGGGGAATTTTACGAAAGAATGATAGGTAAAATTTAAAAGATTTCTTCGTAAGGTTGGGTACAAAAGGAAGAGAATTATTTTGGGGGAAAATTTCCCTGCAGTGGGTGGGGGCAGAGAATCCCGGGGGAACAATCGCCCCTGTCATAAAATGACGACACTCCTGACGCGGGATACTGGGCTCCCTCTCCCCCAAAAAAAGTGGACAAAGGGTTTGAAGCTGCACCCTCCCATAGAGATAATCCCAGGGAAAAAGGGTAGGAAATTTCAAAAACGTGACTGTGTTGAGGGGACAATTCAAGATGTTAAATAAGGAATTATTTATTGGTCGATGTGTGGCCGAAAAACTTTCTTACACTACGTTAAAAACTTTTTTGGTGCGCTAGAGGCGTAAACCGACAGAAAAATTCAAACCCGGGGACATTGTGTTAATTGATACTGAACAACATCGAAAAAATTTTGGGCCCCTGGGGGGGAAAAAGGGAGTTACATTTAAAAACCCAAAAGCACAAGGTGTTTTTCAGAAACGTCAAAATGTTGTTCCCTGGTCAGGAAAGTTTGCGTACCATTAATAAATTAATTCCCTTGAATTAAAAAGGTGTTCAATCCCTGGGAATGGAAAAACTAAGGGAAAGTGACACGGGTTTATATTGAAGACACTAAAAGGCCCGGGGAAAAGCAAGAAGAAACTGGAGTAAGACCCAAAGGAAAACACAGCGGGAATTTTAGAGGGGCTTGGGAAACGTCTCCTGAGGAAGACGCAATTTTTAAGGTCTCTAACAACGCCCTTTCCCCCGGGCCCCCCCGGGATTTGGGAAAAAATTTTAAATTTCCCAAGCTATAGTGTCTAATAAGTGTTTTTTTGTCGATTTGGGTCCCAAAAATTTTTTGCATTTTTAATGAAATCAGCTTGGGGGTTTCCCGCTGCGGGGCCCGCGCCAAGATGGGCAGGGGGGTGGGGTCCCAGCTGGGGGGGGAGGTGGCGGGGGTGTTTTTAATGGGTGGGGGAGGGTGAGAAAACCGGGAATGAGGAAACCCGGGGTTCACGGGGGCCTAAGGATCAAAAATAGGCCCTTTAATTCATAATAGGAAGTTTTCGGACCCGTCCCTAGTTAAAAGTGAGGGAACCCTGATTTACGGGACCACCCTAAAGGGGGGTTAAAAAAATTGTGAATAATGTTTTGACCCCGGGGGGCCGGTGCAAAGGCGATGGGGGGGTGTCCAAGGGGGAAAAACCCGTGTTTTTAATCCCCGTCATCGGCCTCAGACTTGATGGAGTACCCTAAAAGTGTTAAAAATAGTTATGAGACGGGAAACTCTTGTGAATGGGAATGAAACATTTATAAAAACATTGAGTTTTAAAAAATGCGGGAAAGTGAAATAGACCGCCCTGCCCAGTGAACGTGTGATCCGTAAACCCAGGGACAATGAAGTTTTAAAAGGGGAAACACGGGCTTTTTAAACCGGGGCAAACCGACGGATACCTCGCCGCCGGAATAAGAAACCCTGTTTGGGGGTGCAGGACCCTCGAAATGGGATGGGGAATGGAGGAAATAAGGAGGATCAATCACCCACATTTAAGTAACCTTTTTAGTTATAGCAGACTGATGCTGGCCAGTTAGGTATGTTGTAATTGGATAGGTTATGAGTGATCCAGCTACATCAAGTGACCACCAGAGAACATCTGGTAAGTGGTGGGATTATGTACAAATGTTTTTCCCTGATGGATGTATCCATGTGTATCCTACCCCCCCCCCCTTCATTCAGCTAAACTAATATAATCTATACAGTCCACAATTAATTAGTAGCGCCGTGCTTGAGGGTGCTACCCAATTTATACTGGTCTCGGATAGATGTGGATAAGACGGGGAAGGGGGAGGGGCCACCTGTAGTGACCAGAGGTGGTTTAAGTTTTCTCACATGTCTACACGGGGTGACTACGATAAACAATATGGTTGTCTCCCAATGAGATTACTTGTATGTATATAATGTTGAGGTACATACAGATAAGCACCCTATAAAATTTTCCATAGTTGAAATAATAATTACTAATCAGGAATTGCAGCAAAAAAACACTATAAAAAATTATGAAAGAAAAATCAATCACAACACAACAAACTGGACAAGAGTCGCTGCAGAATGAGTTAATATTCCATCAAAATTGCACACACATAGGAATACAGTTTACAAGAACAATAAAAAAAATATAAAGAATGAACTGGTTGAACACATTCTTAATTGCAAATTAGGCAAACACTTAAACAGCAAAAGGGAACACTTTACTTTAAAAATGAATTAAAATTACACAGTGAATTTGTTCAATGAAATATGAATAAAAATAAAGGACAAATAAAATGGGAATAAAACACAATGGAGGAAAAAATGGGAAATGAATCAACACAAATAAGAAGGAACACACAATGAAAATACTGGGGAAAAATAACGACGTAGGTACAGGGGAAAAAATGAATAAAGCAAAACACTGAAATATGGAGCAGAACACAAGGTAAACAGTTTACTGAAGTACTTCACTGAAAGAATTACTGGGCAATAAGTACAATTCTGCGCACATGGAACAATTAAGAATTGTAAAGGCAAGTTTAGAATGCTTATGGCAGTGCAGAAAATTAACACGAAGTATTACTTACAACAGAGAAAAAGAAAAAAGTACTTACTTCAGATTTAAGAAGGGAACACAACAGAACATATATATGTATATAAATAAGACACGAAAATTAAACAAGACAACAATGGGAAAAAATTACTGCAACACAACATAACATATATATGTATATAAATAAGACACGAAAATTAAACAAGACAACAATGGGAAAAAATTATTGCAAACAGAATCTAATCAACACTTCCTGTAATCACAAATCACTGAATGTCACTAATAATTCACTGTAGACTGAGAAAATGTCTCAAACACACGCAAATATCTGTATAAAACTGCTATAATGCTCGCTTGAAGGCTGGAGCAACACAGGAGCCAGGGGCCAGGAGCTTGGACTCGACCCCTGCAACCTCAACTAGGTGAGTACAGGTGGTGGAGTCTGGCGGCCTCCACTCACACGTCGAATTCCTGAAGAAAATCTGCACTTAATCTCGAGGGTCCCACATACTAGACTTTGTCGCTGGCGCACAGGTGTAAAAGTGAAGTAGAACCCGGTATAAGGGTGAGATAAACAATGGCGGTGGGTATGGCTTTGTGTGGAGGTGGTGAGTGGCGCTGTGTCACCACGTGGTGGCTTAGGCAGACTGGATGAACGGCGTAACCTACGCGGTCTGGCGCACGGTACGAGAATACTCTAAGCCAAGCTGGCTTAAAACACACCAGAACACCACAGGAATGGTATAAGCACTCGGGACGGCTTGGAACTGGGAGCACAAAGCGATGATGAAGACTGGAACTCACGTGGCTTGCTTGAGTACTGTGGTTAGTCACCTGGGTTAACGTGCTGGTAAGCCCTTCACACAGGCTAGACTGGCTTGAGAACTTGTAACAATGAGCACAGCAGGCTGGGAAGCTGGCTTAGCAAGTAAGGCTGGTACTAAGCAGGCTGGATGGCTTAGGACTTAGTCTCCCCCATACACTGACTTAATTTGCAAACCCGGGTCAACCCCTCGGAAGTAATGCAAATAATCAGATAAGGCACGAAGACTGACCAGAAAGCAATGGAGGCAGGCTGGTGGGTTAGCTAGCTAGGCCCCCATGCGGTCAACACAATGTCCGTCGGCTGGTAGAAATTATCTCCGTACATTTGCGTAAATATAAAATTTACGTGACTACCGTTGGCATCATTTATAGCGTGAGGGTTCCAGGAGATAAAAGTGGTGTAGAAATACACACTGATATGGATGTTACACTTGAATTGGTAGATTCGTGAGGGAGAATGGACCAGCCTACCTGTCCTTAACTGTGGGTCTACGTGGGAACTGAGCTGGAGGCCTGTGGACCCACGCTCACATGCATCACTGCGTGACGTCATGTGCTAGCCACTTAGCCTAGCAAAGGATAAGTAAGTTTATTTAGGTATACACAAATACAGTTACATAGATTATCATACATAGCACAATATGTGTAAAGAACCTAGGATAACCCCAAAAAATCAGATAGTGACTTATTTCCACTGGGGTCCTTTTACCTTATTATTATAAAGGAGATAATATCTTATTATCATACTATTAAGACTATCTACTACACGAGGGTCATTAAGACCACTTCACGAGGGTCATTAAGAATATCTACAATACGAGGGTCATTACTAGGAATAAGGTAAAAATTAGACATGTGTTAGCTAAAAAAATAAAAAAAATCATTCTCCTCCCTTTCTATCTGTCATGCTATGACTGACTCTGACAGGTGCAGGCAGTCTGTTCCATTCCTATACTGCTGTACAATAAAAGGTGTTTGAAGCCTGGCCACTGACTGTGGGTACTACAAAGTTGTGCTCTCTCCCTCTAGTACTATGATTGCTGCGGTTTCCAACATTGACAAAATTGGCAGCAAGATATTCTTGACACTGTTTGTGAGCAATTTTATAAACTTGATTTTACTTCAAATTCCTTTGCTCTATCTTCAATATTCAGCATATCCAGTTGTTGTAATTGTTCAAGACCTACATGTTCTCCTGGACCCAGGCCTACATGGTCTCTTGGACCCAGGCATACATGTTCTCTTGGACCCAGGCCTACATGTTCTCTTGGACCCAGGCCTACATGTTCTCTTGGACCCAGGCCTACATGTTCTCTTGGACCCAGGCCCACATGTTCTCTTGGACCCAGGCCTACATGTTCTCCTGGACCCAGGCCTACATGGTCTCTTGGACCCAGGCCTACATGTTCTCCTGTACCCAGGCCTACATGTTCTCCTGGACCCAGTCCTACATGGTCTCTTGGACCCAGGCCTACATGTTCTCCTGGATCCAGGCCTACATGTTCTCCTGGATCCAGGCCTACATGTTCTCCTGGACCCAGACCTACATGTTCTCTTGGACCCAGGCCTACATGTTCTCTTGGACGCAGGCCTACATGTTCTCTTGGACCCAGGCCTACATGTTCTCTTGGACCCATGCCTACATGTTCTCCTGAACCCAGGCCTACATGTTCTCCTGGACCCAGACCTACATGTTCTCCTGGATCCAGGCCTACATGTTCTCCTGGACCGAGGCCTACATGTTCTCTTGGACCCATGCCTACATGTTCTCCTGGACCCATGCCTACATGTTCTCTTGGACCCAGGCCTACATGTTCTCTTGGACCCATGCCTACATGTTCTACTGGACCGAGGCCCACATGTTCTCTTGGACCCAGGCCTACATGTTCTCTTGGACCCATGCCTACATGTTCTCCTGAACCCAGGCCTACATGTTCTCCTGGACCCAGACCTACATGTTCTCCTGGACCCAGGCCTACATGTTCTCCTGGACCGAGGCCTACATGTTCTCTTGGACCCATGCCTACATGTTCTCCTGGACCCATGCCTACATGTTCTACTGGACCGAGGCCTACATGTTCTCTTGGACCCAGGCCTACATGTTCTCTTGGACCCAGGCCTACATGTTCTCTTGGACCCAGGCCTACATGTTCTCTTGGACCCATGCCTACATGTTCTACTGGACCGAGGCCCACATGTTCTCTTGGACCCAGGCCTACATGTTCTCTTGGACCCATGCCTACATGTTCTCCTGGACCAAGGCCTACATGTTCTCCTGGACCCAGACCTGCATGTTCTCTTGGACCCATGCCTACATGTTCTCCTGGACCCATGCCTACATGTTCTCTTGGACCCAGGCCTACATGTTCTCTTGGACCCATGCCTACATGTTCTACTGGACCGAGGCCCACATGTTCTCTTGGACCCAGGCCTACATGTTCTCTTGGACCCATGCCTACATGTTCTCCTGGACCAAGGCCTACATGTTCTCCTGGACCCAGACCTACATGTTCTCTTGGACCCAGGCCTACATGTTCTCTTGGACCCTGGCCTAAATGTTCTCCTGGATCCAGGCCCACATGTTCTCTTGGACCCAGGCCTACATTTTCTCTTGGACCCAGGCCTACATGTTTTCCTGGACCCAGGCCCAAATGTTCTCTTAAACCCAGGCCTACTTGTTCTCTTGGACCGAGGCCTACATGTTTTCTTGGACCCAGGCCTACATGTTCTGCTGGACCCAGGCCCACATGTTCTCTTGAACCCAGGCCTACATGTTCTCTTGGACCCAGGCCTACATGTTCTCTTGGACCCAGGCTTACATGTTCTCTTGGACCCAGGCCTACATGTTCTCTTGGACCTAGGCCTACATATTCTCTTGGACCCAGGCCTACATGTTCTCTTGCACCCAGGCCTACATGTTCTCTTGGACCTAGGCCTACATGTTCTCTTTGACCCTGGCCTACATGTTCTCTTGGACCCAGGCCTACATGTTCTCTTTGACCCAGGCCTACATGTTCTCTTGGACCTAGGCCTACATGTTCTCTTGGACCCAGGCCTGCATGTTCTCTTGGACCCAGGCCTACATGTTCTCTTGGACCCAGGCCTACATGTTCTCTTGGACCCAGGCGTACATGTTCTCTTGGACGCAGGCCTACATGTTCTCTTGGATGCAGGCCTACATGCTCTCTTGGACCCAGGCCTACATGTTCTCTTGGACCCAGGCCTACATGTTCTCTTGGACCCAGGCCTACATGTTCTCTTGGACGCAGGCCTACATGTTCTCTTGGACCCAGGCCTACATGTTCTCTTGGACCCAGGCCTACATGTTCTCTCGGACGCAGGCCTATATGTTCTCTTGGTCGCAGTCCTACATGTTCTCTTGGACCCAGGCCTACATGTTCTCTTGGACGCAGGACTATATGTTCTCTTGGTCGCAGTCCTACATGTTCTCTTGGACGCAGGCCTACATGTTCTATTGGACCCAGGCCTACATACTCTGTTTGTTAGGTAAGACACATATGCAACAGTTAGGTATCTTTATTTCGAAACGTTTCGCCTACACTGGTAGGCTTCTTCAGTCGAGTACAGAAAAGTTGATAGAAGCAGAAGATACTTGAAGACGATGTAATCAGTCCATCACCCTTAAAGTTTTGAGGTGGTCAGTCCCTCAGTCTGAAGAAGAGCATTGTTCCGTTGTCTGAAACAATATGAAGTTGAAGTGACAGGATGGAGCTTATATAGTGCCAGGAGGTGAGACGTAGGTTGCTTTGGGAGGGCAGGTCCCTCTCAAACCCAGCCGTTCTCACTAGTAGTTGTTGTCGAAGTTGATGGTCTGTACCAAGATACCCTTGTGTTGCAGTGTCTGACAGAATGAACATTAAAATGGTATAAAATACCGACAGATTGTTAGGTAAGACACATATGCAACAGTTAGGTATCTTTATTTCGAAACGTTTCGCCTTCAAGTATCTTCGTCTTCAAGTATCTTCTGCTTCTATCAACTTTTCTGTACTCGACTGAAGAAGCCTACCAGTGTAGGCGAAACGTTTCGAAATAAAGATACCTAACTGTTGCATATGTGTCTTACCTAACAATCTGTCGGTATTTTATACCATTTTAATGTTCATTCTGTCAGACACTGCAACACAAGGGTATCTTGGTACAGACCATCAACTTCGACAACAACTACTAGTGAGAACGGCTGGGTTTGAGAGGGACCTGCCCTCCCAAAGCAACCTACGTCTCACCTCCTGGCACTATATAAGCTCCATCCTGTCACTTCAACTTCATATTGTTTCAGACAACGGAACAATGCTCTTCTTCAGACTGAGGGACTGACCACCTCAAAACTTTAAGGGTGATGGACTGATTACATCGTCTTCAAGTATCTTCTGCTTCTATCAACTTTTCTGTACTCGACTGAAGAAGCCTACCAGTGTAGGCGAAACGTTTCGAAATAAAGATACCTAACTGTTGCATATGTGTCTTACCTAACAATCTGTCGGTATTTTATACCATTTTAATGTTCATTCTGTCAGACACTGCAACACAAGGGTATCTTGGTACAGACCATCAACTTCGACAACAACTACTAGTGAGAACGGCTGGGTTTGAGAGGGACCTGCCCTCCCAAAGCAACCTACGTCTCACCTCCTGGCACTATATAAGCTCCATCCTGTCACTTCAACTTCATATTGTTTCAGACAACGGAACAATGCTCTTCTTCAGACTGAGGGACTGACCACCTCAAAACTTTAAGGGTGATGGACTGATTAAAATCGTCTTCAAGTATCTTCTGCTTCTATCAACTTTTCTGTACTCGACTGAAGAAGCCTACCAGTGTAGGCGAAACGTTTCGAAATAAAGATACCTAACTGTTGCATATGTGATCTTACCTAACAATCTGTCGGTATTTTATACCATTTTAATGTTCATTCTGTCAGACACTGCAACACAAGGGTATCTTGGTACAGACCATCAACTTCGACAACAACTACTAG